GTCTAGTATTTTCTATACATAAGATCGTGTTGTCAACAAAGACAATTTTATTTCTTCCTTTCCTATTAGGATGCCTTTTATTTCTTTCTCTTGCCCAACTGCTCTGGCTAGAACTTCCAGAACTGTGTTGAAAAGAAGAGGTGAAAGTGGGCATCCTTGTCTTGTTCCTGATCTTAGAGGAAAAGCTTTCAACTTTTCTCCATTGAGTATGATATTAGCTGTGGACTTGTCACACATGGCTTTTATTGAATTGAGAGACATTCCCTCTATACCTATTCTGTTGAGTTTTTCACATCACCTTATCTCATTTTTCTAATAAGGTACATGCATTCATTTGGTTGTTTGTTTCTTTAGCAATAGTTTGCATATCTCATTGTATTAGTCCATTTCTGTTGCTTATAATGAAATACTTGGAACTGATCATTTGTAAGAAAACAAAATTTATTGCTTATAGTTTTGGAGGCTAGGAAGTCAAAGTCCAGGGAACACTTATGGTGAGGGTCTTCTTTGGTGGTGGGTTTACAGCAACACAGGGGTCTCACATGGTAGAAAATGGCAGAGCAGAGAGGTACTCTCATGTGCTCTCCTTCTAAAGAACCACGGCCCTCAGAACCATGCCCCTGATCACCATTATTAATCCATTCACTACTTCATGGTCCTACAATTTAATCACCTCTTCAAGGTCCCACCTTTCAATTACTATAATAGGGAATACCCCCCTCAACAATTACAGTTGGAGCCAAGTGTCCAATACCTGGAACTTTGGGGGACACCCTTTAAGCTTCAGTGAGTTTGGGGGGGACATTCAATCCACAGCGCTCATCTTTGATACAGTAATTATTAACTTAATACTTTGGGACTCGGAAGGCAATCTCACTTTCTTCTTCTCCAGGGCTACCCACTTCTCCCCTCCGTTAAATATTTTTCTTAATAAAGGCTGCAGCTCTTCCACTGTCACATACAAAATGCTCTCTCTTCCCTGTCAAGTTCCCTAAAGAGCTTGTCACTTACAAAAATTTCATGACATCCTGTGGCACTTTGCTCTCTGGATCAAATTCTTCTTTCTAGGGGTGAGAGGTGCTGTCTGAGATCCTGACCTCAGAGACTTGAAGGTGGCCTGGAGGTTAGGCCATTTGATTGTGAGACAGAATCTCCTGTATTTGAGAGGATCCCCTTCTCTGAGGGGATCCAGCAATGAAGACATTTTCTCCTAATGTATGGAAATGGTTGCAAAGTGGGGAAGGCCTTGAGGGTTCCCCCCTCCCCCCACCAAACTACTAGAAAAGAAAATGGAGAGACAGAGGAGAAGGAGAGGATTTAGGGGCAGCCACTACAACCACTCTGTGCGTGGGGAAAGAAGAGATAGAAAGGAGGATTTTCCTAGGATCAGCAATGCCTGGCACTAGGGATAGCCAGCTTGGCTGACTGTGAATAGTTGTATTGGGAAATGGAGGAGGGGCAAGGGGTATAGTTCCTAACTTTACTTTTCAAAAGCTCACCTGATGAGGTATTACCTAAAGGCTTTACAGTCTAGTCCTTCCTCTACAACAGGGGTTGCTGAACTTTTAAAAGATATTCATGCAATTTTCCTCAAAGGAAATATTACAAGAAACCTAATACAATGAAACTTGGACTGTTCTGGTAGAAGCTGGAGGGTGTAGCCCATCTCAGCACTTT